GGATGGTCTCGAACTAAATGAATAAGAGCTTTCCAGTAACTATGAAACTAGAGTGTAATGGAGGAAAGAGGAACTCCGAGAGTAGGGATGGAATCTATTGATCCTCGGAAGACCGCTTAAGGCGAAGGCTTCTTTCTAACTAAACACTGACGCTGAGGTACGAAAGTATGGGGAGCAAAACGGATTAGAGACCCGTGTAGTCCATACCGTAAACGATGAGTGCCTTAGATTGGTTATTAAATCAGTCTATAAATGTAGATTAAAGCACTCCACCTGGGGAGTACTGCCGCAAGGTTGAAACCCAAAAGTATAGAGGGTCTTGAAAACCAGCAGTGAAGCATGTTGTTTAATGTGATGATCCGCACAACATCTTACCACTCCTTGAATGTTACACAGGCGTTGCATGGCTGTCTTCAGTTCGTGTCGTGAGATGTAAGGTTAAGTCCGCATGATGGACAAAACCCTTGCAGTTGGTTAATTTGTACTTGAGCCTTCTGTGACAAACTGGCATAGTTAGGATTTAGGCCAGCCCTCATGGCCCTTATGGAGTGGGTTGCCGGGGAGCAGCTTGGGGGAATACCATAGGATCCAATAAGGTAACTAGGATTCTTAAAACTTGACAAAAGAAAGACTAACCCAGATCAGGAATGACAAAATTCCAAAAATGCCCACTACAGGGGTCGAACCTGTGGCCTTGGCGTTATTAGCACCACGCTCTAACCAACTGAGCTAAGCGGGCATTTTTGCCATCTCAAATGTCAACATTGGTTCCATCCTCTATTATACAGGGAATGTCACCCGATATCGCCTCATTTCTGGGGAACATGCAGGCCCAATTCATGTCACTACTACAACGTACCAATGAACTTGAATCTCTTGCCGCAACTAATGCTAGATTAACTACTCAATTAGTTAATACGGAAAAGCTAATTGCTGATCTCAGATCTCAATTAGCATCTCAGGGCAATTGCCAAATTACAACAAATGCATCAACATCATCTGCACCAACCACACCCAAGGAGCCTGGCACTAAGGCTTCTACATGGGCTACAACTGCTGCTGCTGCTCACAACTCTGTTGTTGTTCCTACTGCTCTTTCTGTTCGCAAGACTCCAAGACCTCCTTCTGTTTGCCAGGTTACTGCTTCTGCTAGAATGTTTGCCATTCCCACTGGTCCCAAAGGATATCAATATGTGTATATCCCACGTTCACGTCATCTCACACATAGAGAAGTGCGCAACTCTTTGAAAACACTTGGTGTTGATACTGGCCACATCTTGGATATCAATTTTCCTGCCAAGGATGTAGTTGGCATCCTAGTTCACAACCAGTATGCTGAGAAATTCCAGATCACTCTGACCACAGTTGCCATTGAGATCTTAGACACGTTTGACCCTTTGGATCCCAAAAACATTGCAGATCCCAAATATAAGTCTCTTTCTGATTCAGAGCTAGAAGAAGTTGCTGCTGAACTTCATTCTGATCGTTGTCTGAAGGCTCTCAAGTATCTTTGTCCTCATGTTGCTGTTTCTGTTGGTCATTTCTTTTGTGATCAAGGCTGGATCTCTAAGGAAGATATTCCTGTTCATTCTGTTTCTGGTCCTGGTGCTGGTATTCATGATTTCCAATCACCATCTCATCGTATCTCTGTTGCAATGTCTGAATGAGTGAAATCTCATTAGGACTATGGAATGCTAATGGTCTGCAGCCTCGTGCAATTTATGATGTTCTTCAACACTGTCACTCTCTACATATGCTTTTTATCACTGAAACATGGCTTCTCCCCCCATCTCGTCTCCCCACTTCTTGGTCCCAGATTCATCTTTATGGTTCACCTGTAGCTGGCAACTACAGAGGTTCTATGGGTGTTTCTGTTCTTATTTCTCCATCCTGTCCTTATCCTGTCACTCAGATTCCTATGTCATCTAATTATGCTTTGGCCATCAAGATTGGTTCCCTCAGAATTGTATGCCTGTACTTACCACCCTCTATGTCCACCCATGATGCTCTTGCAGTTCTCTCATCCATTCCTTTGACCAATGACACTATTATATGTGGCGATTTTAATTTATGTTTGGGTTCACTTACTGGTGACTATGCTACTAACACTCGAGGTCTTGCTCTTTGTCAATGGTTAGAAGAACGTGCTCTTACTGTTGTCAATGGCCAGCTCTCACCATGCATACCTACATTCATTTCATTCCGCCAAAATGTGGAGATAAGCAGTATCATTGATCTGTTTATCACTAATATGTCCCTCACCAATGCCACTCTCAACATTCATACCGACCTCTCACTCAACTCTGACCACCGTCTGCTTTCACTTTCATTTACATATGCCATCAATCCAACATCACATGCACCACCACCATCTCACAAAACATGGAACCTCTCACGACTTCAAGAACCTGATGTTCTCAAACTATATGCCCACACATTTGTCACTAATTCCACCAACCTCAAATCCACTTTGCAATCGACCTTCAAACACTCTCCTTTCTCACGTTCACCAATTGATGCACTAACTGATGAATTCAACTCACTCATTTATAATTCTTTAAGTAGCTCAATTGGCAACCGTCCTTCCCGTCCTTCCCACTGGAAAAAATTCTGGAATTCAGTACTTCAAGCAGCTGCAGAGCACCGCAATTTCTGCTACAAGAAATGGTGCCGTGCATGTGGTACAGACAGAATTCATTGGTGGGATAAGCATCTCAAAGTGCAGGCAGAATTCCGACATCAAGTGCAATCATCTAAGCGCCAATCATGGCATGCTTTCTGCAAATCAATGGAACAAGACTTTTCCAAAGCAACATCAAAGATCAAGCAACTCAAACGCCAACAGCAGCCTCAGCACATGTTTCAACATAGTGATGGACCAGCAACAGCAGCAACAATTATGTGTGAGCATCTTGCATCTGTATACAGTGGCAGTATCCTCTCAGATCAGCGTCCTCCTCCTCCTCTTCACAGTACTAGTCTGCCTTTTGCCTCTGCCAACTCACCATTTGTTTCTTCAGTGGTAGAGGGATGCATGCAATTTATGCCTAACTGCAAGGCACCAGGCCCAGATCACATCAGAGCAGAAATGTTGAAAGTAATTCAACCACAAATTGCTCCACTACTCTCACTCTTGTTCACCATCTGTTGGCAATGGTCATATGTACCTGTTATTTGGCGTCAGGCTCAAGTTTTTCCCATTTACAAAAAGGGAGATCCATCAATTGCTGCTAACTATTGACTTATTTCACTAACTTCTGTTGTGCAAAAACTGATGGAAATGTGTATTTCTCCAGTGCTTCACAAGTTTTCCCCTCCTCTGGATGTTGCTCAGGGTGGTTTCCATCCTAGACGTGGTGCCATGGACCAAGCTCTCTGTCTGCATGACCTCATGAAAGCACACTTCTACCGCCATCACCATTATCCTGTTGTTGCATTCTTAGACATAAAGGCAGCTTATGATACAGTAGACCGATGAGTCATTTGAGATGCTCTTGCTAGACGTCACACACCACCAGCTTTATTTGGACTTCTTGTCAATATGTTTGATGATGTCTCTATATCTGTTCTTCTTGGCAACTTCTCTTCTCATTCTTTTTCTCCCACCACAGGCGTCCTTCAAGGTTCCATTCTCAGTCCACATTTGTATTCAATCTATATCAACTCCCTGCCACCAATACTCTGCACAGTTGCATCACCACTCACCTTAACACATATCCCATCAACCTCTCCTTCCTCATTGGATGCTTACAATTCTCTTCTTGCCCCATCAGATGCGAATGACTTTCGACACATTCACTTGCCTACTGCCATTAACAGTCTTCTTTTTGCTGATGATGTTGCCATCTTTGGCTCTGTCACTGATGTTCAGAGTATGCTTGATCTTGCTGCCCAACACTCCTTCCAGCTTGGCTACTGTTGGAGTCCTTCAAAATGTGCTGTACTCTATCCTCCTTCACGATCTTTACCATGTTTTACTATCTCTCTGTATGGCGAGTTGCTTCCTGCAGTAAATGAGTTTATATACTTGGGTATACCTTTCCATAACAAAGGCATCTTTGGACCGCCTGTTGTCACTCATCGTCGTTCTGGAGCATTGGCTGCTATGGCAACTCTTACTGCTGTTGGTGCATGTAGATCTGGTTTCAGTTTGCTCTTAAGTTCACGTCTGTTCAAAACCTTTATACGGCCAAAATTCGAGTATGGTCTTGCAATCACATGTCTTTTGCAAAAAGATGTTTTACTTCTAGAGAAAATTCAAGATAAATGCTTGCGAATGATTGTTGGTGGCCATGCAACTTCATCTACTGCGGTCTTGAAACATATCTGCAACCTGCCCAGTATGGCTTTTCGCGTTGACATTCTCAAAACAAAATTTTGTCTTCGGGCACACACTCTTCCTTCTGGTTGTCTTCTCTCTCTGCTCCATTCTCATCATCTCCAAGCATCAACACTATCCACTCTTCACACAAACCTTCTTTTTGCCAGCATTCCTCCTGATCTTAATTGCTCCAGCCGCATAAAACTATCCAAGCACTTTGAGTCTTTTAGACAAGAAAAGTTTGCTCACTTTCATCTCACCAACACTAAGATTCTCATCCAAGCTTGCCGCCCTCTTCTTGAAGTTGATCCTGTATTGTTTCTTCCTGCTACACGCATAGAACGTGGCCGTCTAGTACGTTGGAGAATGGGCTGGTTGCCTGGTAAGCCAAAGGAGTGTGCATGTGGCTTTGATCATACTTCAAGACGCCATCTCCAATTCTGCATCACAATCCCATCTCAGCTGTTCTCTCAACTTCTAGTACCACCCACAGATGAAGACAACATCATTGACTTTGCTATATCAGTACTACCAATCTCGTCTACACATCCAAGCCCTCTATATTGGAAAGCTCTTCTTACAATACTATGGCATATTGACATGCTATGCAATCCTAATGGCAACTACACACATGAAACTGATCATGATTCTCTCTGGCACTAGCTCTAATAATTTAATATCTGTTTTCTTTTACTTCTTTTCTTCTTATTTTTGTCTTCTCATTCATGAAATGTTTCTAGATCTGCAATTCTGTCTCCTCCCTTTCACTGTTACAACTTTTTACACAGCTGCAAAGTGGAGAGCAGGTTCAGTCTTTTAGCTTAGTATTGTTTATTTCTCTTCTATTCATTTTTTTTGTCTTTTGTAATCCTTTTGGACTTTTTTTTTATCTTTTTCTTTTGTACTTGGGAGGCTATATGATCTATAGATCGCCAGCAATATCTCCTTAATAAAAATAATCTTTAACCTGAGCTAAGTGGGCACTTCTCTTTCACGTAAGCTTTACTTTTTTAAATTTTAGGTTTTTCAAAGTTTGCATCCATACAATTCTATCATTAATCCATCCAAAATATTGCTTCAACCATTGCATCCATTGTCAAACACGACGCATCTACCCTTCCCACCACCGCATCCATTGTCAAAAATTTTTTTCCTATCGTTCCTGCTATTTTATCACCGATTTTCACTTTTTCTCTGCCGATTGCTGCCATCTCAAGATCATCGTCAAACATGTCGCAATTGTTGCCTGCTAATTGCATGCAAAGTCTGCCAGCCAAACTTGTGACGTTTTTAACCAGTATACAGCCACAGTTCAATGCACTTAACAAACGTACAGCACATTTGGAATCTCTTGCTGCCAAAAATGTCCAATTACATGCTCAATTAGCTAATGTCCAGCAGGAGAATGCCGATCTCCGATCTCAATTGTTGCAAAACAATGTGACTGGTCCTGTTCCCAGCTCGGCTTCTCTTCCTGTACCCCAGTCAACTGCAGATCTTGGAACTGCTGCCTCCACTTGGGCCACCAAAACAAGCTTGATTCTGCCAGCCAAGACATCTCAAGTTCCTTCTGCCCACCGGGTTGCTGCCTCTCAAAGACTGTTCTCTGACAAAACTGGTCCTGATGGTTTTGAATATGTTTATATTCCTCGCTCACGTTGTATTACGCACAGTGAAGTGCGCCGCTCTCTCTGCACTCTTGATGTTGACACTGGTCACCTGTTAGATATTAACTTTCCTGCTCGTGAAGTTATTGGAATTCTTGTTCATGTGCAGTATCTTGAGGAATTTAAGTCCCAATTAGCTAGTGCTAAGGTCTCTTTTGTCAACAACTTTGATCCACTTGATCCTAAAAATGTTGCTGATCCCAAGTTTGCCAACTTGTCTGTCTCTGGTCTTGAAACCCAGGCTTTGGTTCTCCAAAATGCCCGCTGTCTTCAAGCTCTCAAGTTTTTGCGTTCTCACTTGGTCCTGCCAGTTGCTCACTTCTTTGTCCAGTCAGGATGGATTGGACTTGAGGAAATTCCTGCCCAACCAGTAGCTGAGCACTTTGGTGATTCTCCAAACAAAAAACGTGCCCTTGATGCTCTCACTGCTATGATTGAATGAGTGATCTTTCAATAGGATTATGGAATGCTAATGGACTTCAACCTCGTGCAATTACAGACGTGCTCAACCACTGTCAATCTCTTTATATGCTTTTTATAACTGAAACATGGCTCTTATCCCCAGCCCGTCTTCCAACCTTATGGTCTCAGTTTCATCTCTATGGATCTCCTGTTGCTGGAAACTACCATGGATCAATAGGGGTGTCATTGTTAGTCTCTCCTTCCTGTCCTTATGCTGTCACACAAATACCTATGCCCAACAACTATGCTCTTGCTGTCAAGATTGGTACCCTTCAACTTATATGCCTTTACTTACCACCCTCTATGCCCACTCATAAAGCTCTTGATATCCTCTCAGCCATTCCTTTAACTGATGATATCATTATATGTGGAGATTTTAATGCACACCTTGGTTCAGTAACTGGTGACTATGTATCTAACTCTCGTGGTGTAGCTTTAGAGCAATGGCTTGAAGAACGATCTTTAACTGTCCTCAATGGAGTTCTCTCACCATGCACACCCACATACATTTCCTTTTGTAACGAAGTTGAAATCAGCAGCATCATTGACCTTTTCATCACCAACACCAACTTCGCCAACCCTTCTTTACACATTGCAACCGAACTATCTTTAGGCTCTGATCACCGACTTCTCTCACTTTCCTTTACTTATGACTTGCAACACTCACCACCAGCACCTCCACCTATGCACCAAACTTGGAATCTGTCACGTCTTTATGAAGATAATGTCAGATCATTATATGTCACCACCTTTGTCACCAAATCCGCCTCCCTTCTCACCACACTGAAAGACCTTGTTCAGAATCCGCCAACTATATGTCCACCCATTGATGCTCTTACTAACTCTTTCAATGCACTCATTTATGACTCTCTTAGTAGCTCAATTGGTTCTCGCCCCCCTCGCCCCTCACATTGGAAATCGTTTTGGACCCCTGCATTGCAAGCTGCAGCCGACCATAGAGATGGTTGTTACAAGCAATGGCGTCGAGTTTGTGGCATTGACAAGATCAATTGGTGGAGCTGGCACCAGCATGCACACAAGGAGTTTCGTCAGCAAGTTCAGACAGCAAAGTATTTGTCTTGGCATGCTTTTTGCTGCTCAATGAGCTCGGATTTCAACAAGGTCACATCTAAGATAAAACAGTTGAAACGGTGCAGACAACCACAACACACATTTCAGCATAATGATGGCCCAGCAGTCGCAGCAACAGTTATGTGTGACCATCTTGCATCTGTCTATAGTGGACATATTCTTCCTGACATTCGACCTTCACCACCACCACTCAACACCTCTCTCATGCCTTTTGCCTCTGTTGACTCCCCATTCACCTCATCAGTGGTGGAGGCCTTCATGCAATTTATGCCTAACTGCAAGGCGCTGGGTCCTGACCACATCCATGCAGAAATGCTAAAGCCCATTCAGTCTCACATCTCACCTCTCCTTGCCTGTCTTTTCACCATCTGCTGGCAATGGTCATACACTCCTTCTCTCTGGCACCAAGCCCAAGTATTTCCTATATTTAAAAAGGGTAACCCTCTGAATGCTGCGAACTACTGTCCCATCTCCCTTACTTCTGTGGTGCGCAAGTTGTTTGAGATGTGCATAGCTCCTGAGTTGCATAAGTTCTCTCCTCCTCTGGATGTTGCCCAAGGTGGATTTCGTCCTCGCTGTGGTGCTCTTGACCAAGCTCTCTGTCTGCATGATCTGATGAAAGCTCATTTTCATCGTCATCACCACTATCCAGTAGTTGCTTTCTTGGATATCAAAGCAGCATATGACACTGTAGATCGGCATGTAATTTGGGATGCCCTTTTCAGACGATCCATACCACCTACTCTCCTTGGACTTTTGGTCAATATGTTTGATGATGTGTCTATCTCAGTTCTTCTTGGAAATTTCACCTCACATTCATTTTCACCCAAGACAGGCGTTATTCAAGGTTCAGTTCTTAGTTCTCATCTTTACTCGATTTATATCAACTCCCTGCCAGCTCTCCTCCACACAGTTGCATCTCCTCTCACTTCTACCTATGTACCATCATTGTCTCCCTCCTCATTGGATGCATATCAGTCTCTTCTTGCTCCTTCAGGTGTGGATGGCTACCAGCACGCAGTCTCATCAACGTCAATAAATACACTTCTTTTTGCTGATGATGTGGCAATATTTGGTTCTGCTTGTGACGTCCAGACTATGCTCCATTTGGCCGCCCAACACTCATTTGATCTTGGTTTTCGTTGGAGTCCATCTAAATGTGCTATCATTTACCCTCCTTCTTGTTCTGCCAACCATTCAGCTCTCTTGTGGTATTTCAGGTACGAAACAATAGAAAAATAAAATATTTGATAATAGAGACGTATAGAAATACTTTGAGACTGTATATAAGTTGCCTTTATTCATAAATAAAAAGTGTCCCTTTTTATAAGAAAACACAATCTGCTCTTGTCATTACGTCTTAGTTTCTTAAGGCTTTCTTCCTTTACTATATTTGGTTATTAGAGTGTATTTACTGCTTAACTAGTGTCGGTGTTACAATTATGACATCAAGTCATAAATCGTACTTCTTTAGCTCTTAGCTATTCTTTTCTCTTTTATACTAGAGCTTTAGGACTTCCTACTAAATTAGCTCCATATCGATCTGACACAGTTTACCTGGCAGTATGATATAATTATCTTAACAATCTTTAAGATATTATCTACAGTACTAACTGTAATAATTATTGGGCTGATTACTTAATCGTTTATATATATTTTATACTGACAAGATGATAGCTACTACGCTATCCCAATATGAATATGTTCTTATATGTAATAAATCCAACATCCGAGTGTCTGGATCACCACATTATCCCCACCCAGGTATTAACTAAATACCGTTCAAGTACTCTATGCAATTCTTCTGATCAGCTTGTTCTTTTTTTATTTTAAACGAGTACTGTAGTGCTCAAATAACTCTTTATTTAGACCTTACTGCATTTCTTCTTTTGATAAGCTGTCTTTACATAATTCTTTCTTTTAGTACCTGAATTTTCTTTAGGTGCGGAATATGCAACTTTCATATCCTTTAATAATTTTTTATTGGCCTTATTGATGTCTTTGATACCTTCTGGAGCTTCACCAATTCTTTGCTAGTATTCCTTTATGAACTTAGGATCGGTAAAATGATCCTCTGGCTCCCAGGTATCATGAGACTCATCATAATCCAACCATTTGCATCTATACAAATAATTGTTCTTGTCATCTTTCATGTGCTCAATAATTGCTTCGACTTCAAAAAAGTCATTCTTTTGCTCTAATACCTTGTCAGAAACTTTTTTCAATAAAGAAGGAGGATAATTCCTTGGTTCTAAAAATCCCTTTTCATTTTTCAATACATAAGTATTGGCAGCAGTCTTTCTAACAACAGTATAGAATCCCTTATACTTCGGATCTAATTTATTCTGTTTTTCTGTCACCAAAATCATTACCGTGGTTCCTGGAACCAGATCTATCATTTTGTGACTTCCATCAAAGCGTTCCTTTTGCTTTTCTGTGACATGCTTTACGTGTTCAAACATGGCAGGGTAGACTATCTCAGTCATTCTTTTAATTTTTTCTTGCAACTCTTTCTGAATCTATTCAGCAGTTGCACTATCCTTTTCTTTACTAAAATTGACAAAGTCATTTGAATTCCTTCCAAACATTAACAAGAATGGCGTACTCTTAGTCCTAGCATTATACTTGCTATTCAAAAACAACTGTGCAGATGGCACCTTCTGATCCCAATCAGCGACATTACCAACTATTTGTTTTTTAATGGTGCTCACTGCCGACTGGACAGCTCTTTCGCTTGCACCATTAGCTCTAGGATGGTACTGCGAAATCAATGCATGTTCAAAACCAACATTCTCTTTTATACATGTCATCAGTGAGTTCACAAACTCCTGTCCACAATCACTCTGCAACTTTCTCATCGGACCCCATGTACTAATGACGTCCAGTACTTGTAACGCAATTGTAGCTGCCCTTTTATCAGGTATGGCACGCAATACATAAAATTTGCTTGCTATGTCTATCATCACTAACAAGTACTCATTTCCTCTAGTCGACGTTGTAAATGGCCCAGCCAGATATATTCCCCAACTGTCACCAGGAAGTGTTGCAGTCACAGGTCTTAAAGGATTATAACCTTTTCTTGTGATATTATGACGTTGACACTGTATACACAATTGTATAAGATCATTTGCTTGACTCTTCAAGCTGGTCCAATAGATACCTTTACTCTTTAAGGCATGTAGTATAGCTTCTATACCAAAGTGACCTTTCAAATGTTCTTCAACTAATAACTTATTCCTTTCATTTTCTGTGGGAGGAGTAAAGTACTCACCACTCAAGATGTCTGGTAGCGGTTCCATAGTGACAGCACTATTTCTCATGATGGATCTAACCACACTATCCCCACCCAGTTCATTTGATAATGTTTCAGTCTCTTCAGATAAACGTGACAACGCATCAGGAAGCACATTCAAAACACCAGGCAAATGAACGATCTTAAAGTCATACTGTAAAATCGTGTCCATCCATGCAATCATCATCAGATTCGCAACACGTTGGGTGTGAAGATATGTCAATGCCTTGTGATCCGTGTACAAGGTAAAGTGAGAACCATAGACATACTTGTGAAAACGCTTGAGTGCAAATACTAACGCTAGTAATTCTCTTTTGGTCGCAGAATACTTTCTTTCACTTTAGGATAAGCTTTTAGCCACGAAAGAAATATATTTTTTCTTGCCATCCTTGACTTGATACAACACTGTACCAATATCAGTAAGAGATGCATCACAGCTGATACTAAAAGGAGAGTTCATATCTGGGTACGACAACACCAGATCACTCAAAAGTGCTTTTTTCAAGTTATTAAATGCAGTTTGATGCTTATCTGTCCATAAATGGGTAATCGATTTTTCATTTCTCAATGAATCTAGTGGCGACATAATGGAAGATACATTCGGAATCAACGTTCTAAAATAGTTGATCAACCCACAATAACTTTGGATATCTTTACCCGTCTTTGGTTGAGGAAATTCAAGAACATTAACAAGTTTTCTGCGGTCCATTATAATTCCTTCAGGTGAAATATGAAAACCAAGCAAATAAATTTCTTTCTGAAAGAAATGACATTTTTTCGGATTCAACTTCAAATTGACCCTTGTTAATCTCTCAATGACTTGCTTCAAGTGTTCCTTGTGTTCCTCGAACGTTTTGCTTGCGCAAACAATGTTATCCACAAAAAACCGTACAAAAGATAGTCCTTCCAAAGCTATACTCATAGTTCTTTGAAATTGTGAACTGACATGCTTTATACCAAGCACTGTACCAATAGGTTTGTACTGTACACCACGCCATGTGAAACTAAGTTTGTGTGTGTCCTTTGGATTCAACCTCAAAGAATTAAACGCAAATTTCAAATCTAGAGTGGAATAAATATTCGCACCCTTTAAATCTTCAAACAATTTACCAATCAATGGCAAAGGCATACGATCAATTGACTTCAACAGGCAATTAATTAATCTGGGATCATGACAAACGCGATATCCAGTAATTTCTCCTTTACCGTTCGTCTTCTTGACAACAGTCAAAGGCGTATTCCATTGTGTGTTTGCAGATGCTCTTTCAATTATACTATTGTCCAGCCATTCTCTCACCTGTTCATCCACTACACCTTGCATCTTGTAAGGAATGGGATAAGGGCTTCTGAACGCCGTAGCATTTTCTGGAGTGTCCAAACATACAACACTTTCAGGTATAGTACAAAACGAACCCTTAGGAATATCTTGATTGTCTTTAATGAACGGTCAAATATAATCCATAGCATCCTCAAACTGTTTGGGACCTACAGCCGGATTATTTTCCTTTTGTTCATTTTCTCTTGCAATGGATTCAAAAAGATCACTCTTATTATTGAAGCGTCTATCGGCTTCTCTACGTTTCTCACTTGAATCAGCATCATCATATGATAAAGGTAAACCATAAATACCAATACCAAGAGAAGACATATAATCAGTACCAATACTGAAATCATACTCATGACTATTAGTTAAATTCATCACTTCAAACTCGCGTTGAATAGTCTTACTATTGCAAGTTACACTGATCACACAAGCACCGATTCTTTTAATCTGGGTATTGCTATCAGCCAAACGAATAAAATACTTATGAACATTGTTTTTGTTCAACAAATCTTTATTAATGTGATTGATATAACTAATGGCTATTCCATTCTTCAAGCAAAAATTCTTGTCCACCGAACTGAACGTGGCCCCACAGTCCAACAAGAAGATGATTCTAATAGAATTATTTGCCAAAATAGGAAAGGTAATATTAGTGCTCATGTTCTTAAAATCTCTTTTAATAGCCATGTCTTTAAGATTGTACTTACAATCTAATGCCATCTTGGCCAGAGCACTAGTGTTGTCTTGGTACTCTGACCAAGACAACGAGGAACTCCCCTCAACCATAGTGGAAGCTCTTGCTGGTCTACCAGCAGAGAAGCAGACTGCCATCCTTGACACCTTTGTCAAGTACTTCTCCCGTTCCGGACAGGAGTGTCCCTTAACCCAGGGAGCCTTGCATGAGAAACAGATGCTATCCTTCATCGCCTTCTTGAAGTCCCATGACTTCTTGGGAGACTGAGAACCACGCTCGCGAGAGAAAGACCTTTTCTTTCCCTTGTGGAAACCAGCAGAGAGAGAGGACGCACCATTGTGAGCAGCAAACGAACTCCAGGAGGACGCGGCAGTACCATTGGCAGGATTATGTAACAAAGCAGTGGAGTCCACTGCAAAAGGAGGGTGGATTTGGTCGAATTTTATTTTTTGAATTTTGGCAAAATTTGGAAAAATATTTCAAACACCATCGTTTTTCAATATATTTTTTTCTTGAGATGGGAATTCGCAATTTTTTCTGATTATATTAAATAAACACAGATACAAACACAAATATTTATTAATTAGGCAATAAATCGCACAATTGTCTTAAAAAATATATGTTTCGATTGACTTGGCAGAAAAATAAAAAATAAAAATAAAATATTAAATGTTAAATGTAGTATTTAATTATTTTTCTGGAAGGAAAAACTTGTTGTTACAGATGCACCTAATTTAGACTCAATAATATTTTTATTGCATCGCAAAAAATACCAATTTTTATTAGAATATAATAATGTATGATATATGACTTATTTTTAATAAGAAAGTATATCAAGAAAAATTGAAAAAAAGAGCAAGAATTGATGTCATAAAAAATACAAGAAAAAGAAAATCCAAAAAAAGGCCACTTGCCAAAATGAGCGAGAATTGATGTCATGTTAAAAAAACGCGAAAGAGAAAAACTACGTCATTATATCAGTGATTATTAAATTGAAGCCCCATTAATAATCAGGCACACTTTTTTTAAGAAAAGATTGCTATATCAAAATCCATTTGTAATTCTTACTAATAGGGACGGTAAGCTCAATGTAGTCAATGACATAGTGAACAAGATATATCAACTCATTATTAATGACAAAAATAAGAGACATATAAAAGATGAAAATAAAATATAGTATACACCTCTTTATTATTTTATTATTATTAATATTATTCTTACTGTTATGAATTCTACAACTAAAACCTACACTGTTATGTGTACATGTTCATCATGTATCAAAAATGCAATTGGCGGAATTTTGCAAAATGCACAGATCTTTAAGTGTCATAATAATGCTGATAAGTTATTAGACATTGGCCCAAAAAATCGAGGTAAATGACATTTGAGTAGTACACGCATTACTGGATAAATTGTAATCTAATATTTTTTTTTGTTAATTATCAGTTAATACAGAAGTTGCCAAAGAAGAGACAGACATTGAGATGGTAGATGTATCTGAAACATCGATTGATTGTGAGTATAAAATTTCTTTTTAATAAATCATAATTTAGATAGCTAATAGTCTGGTTTTACTATAGATGAAGACAATTATTCTATTGTATCAGCCGAAACTACCGTACAGAGTGTACCTTTTTTGAGAGAAGACGAGATTTTTCAATTCGAAGAGTCTGATGTCGAGACAACATCATTGGCTTCTGACAATGACGATTCTGATTCAAGCGATGAGTCTGAGGATGAGAGCGAAGTTGAGGTTGCTGGTGTTGAAGATTTTGAAGACATGGTTGCTTCCGGTATGCATACATTTAAAAAAGAAATATACATAAATTGTGTTACAAATAATTAACAGAAATACTTGCCTTTGTAGTTGCTTCTTTGAAAATTCATGAAATGTCTCAAACAAGCCAATTCATGGCTCTATTTGGCGTTATCTTTCAGGCATTTTACTTGGTTCAAGTAGGTGGAACTGCTATGTTGAAATTCTTCCGCCATCTTCTTGTTGCTTTTGATAAGGATACCGATCTCCCACTCACCATTGATGCATTAAAGACTATGACCGGCTTCAATTTCATGACAAAAAGCATTGTCAAATACACCATCTGCAACAAGTGCTTTGCAATTTACCTACCAGGCAATCGCCAACCAAATTGCACATTCGAAAAATACACAACCACACCACCAACATACTGCGGAAATCCTTTTTTCTCTGACACTGAAGCTGATCGCGCCGTCCCTCTCATGGTTTTCCCATACAACTCGCTCAAGAATGCATTGGCACAGCATTTCGCCAAACCTGGGTTCGAGCATCAAATCGTTCAATGGAGATCGAGGGAAACCGTAAACAGTACCTTGTTGAACGTCTATGATGGTGCAATGTGGTCTGAGCTCCTTGATGAAGATGACGAGCCTTTTGTGAATCATGACCATTCTTTGATGTTGACATTGAATGTGGATTGGTTTCAACCATTCGAGGGTCGTACACATGCAAGTGGGGCCTTGTACCTGTCAATGAACAACCTGCCTAGAGAAGAAAGAATGAAGCCGGAAAACATTATCCTTGTTGGTGTCATGCCTGGTCCAAAGGAAGTGAAGATCGACCAGATGAACAACTTCTTGGAACCTCTGGTAGACGAGCTGGTAGAGTTATATGGCAGCATAACTATGAAAACTCCAGAGTTCCCCAACGGTACTAGTATCCGTGCTGCTCTTATGTGTGTTGCTTGCGACATACCTGCTGCAAGAAAGACTGCTGGATTTACAGGATTTGCAAGTATAAACGCCTGTCACATATGCAAGCGTCATTTCACTGTTGCTGCTGGAACAAGTAAGATCAATTATTCTGGATTCGATTATGAGAACTGGGTCTCCCAAACAAAAGAGGAAAATGCAACCGAAGCTGAGATGTGGTTCTGCGCAGAATCTGATGCAGAGAGAGCTGTTTTGGAGAAGCAGCATGGCACCCATTTTTCCGAGTTGCATCGCCTACACTACTTTGATCCCGTCCGATGCATGATTGTTGATCCCATGCACAATTTGTTTCTTGGGACAGCAAAGCGTATGATCAGTGTTTGGAAAGACCTGAGGTATCTCCCAACTGCTGTTCTTGTCCGTATGCAACGTCTTGCCAATAATATTCTTGTTCCTCCTGGGTATGCCATTTTATCAACAAAGATCGAATCTGGTTTCCCGTATATGAAGGCAGACGAGTGGCGATTGTGGTGTCTGATTTATTCGTTGGTGGTACTAAAAGACCCTTTGCCTGAAGACGGCTACAAAAACTGGACTCTCTTTGTAAAAGCATGCCAAAAGTTGACCAGTCCTTCAGTCACATATTCAGAAATTGACAGCGCACACCAGCTCCTTGGAGAATTCGGAAAAGAGTGTGAGACTCTTTATGGAGAGAGCAGCATCATGCCAAATATGCACTTGCATATGCACTTGCGTGAGTCAATGCTTAACTTTGGTCCAGTATACGCATTCTGGCTGTATAGCTTTGAGAGATACAACGGCAAGTTGAAGAACATCAAGATGAACCGTCGCAATGGTCTTGAGGTCACCTTCATGAGAGTCTTCCTGGAGAAAGCATTCATTGGTAGCTTTCTTCGAGCGTATTCTACCAATCTTTCATCACCACTGATAGAGTTCCTTGAGGGGGTTGCCCAAGTAAAATCAAATTCCGACAGCTCTTCTCCCTTGAATTTGGATGCTGGCCACCCTCCTGCGTTGCCATTTAGCTTAGCAATGTTCCAGCAAGCTGCTACCAATCCATGGTACAATGTCACCGGAAGTGAGGCCTTACCCCCGACCACATTGCCAATCAAGTTGCAGCCTTTGACTATGATGAAGGATGATCACTATCAGTGGTTATTTGAATTCTATGTCAAGGCTTACCAGAGTACAAGTGTTTCCTTCTGTGTGGTAGGGAGAATCCCAATTGGTGAGGATGCATTTGTGAACAATCGGATTCAAAAGGTGAAGAAGATTTTGTTGCTGGGGCAAGAGTACTGCAGTGGTGAAAAGAAGAAGCGCGGGTCTTTTGTGAGGGTATTGTTTCTTGAGAGAACAAATGACGATGTATCTGAATTCCCTGGTCAAATAGAGTATTTATTTACTCATACCATCAAGATCGGTGGAGTCAAAAGAGTGTCAACGTTTGCATTCATTAAATGGTTTCCCGCCTACCATTCAAGTAGTTATCAGCCATTAGCTGATCAAGGTCTGCAGTTGTGGGACAAGGGATTTATGGAAGAAGATGCTTCATGCATTGTTCCAGTGCATCGTCTGCATTTATGCTTTGCGTTGACTACGCATAAAATGCAGAGTGGGACGCAAAAGCACCTGGTTATTCCACTGCCTAGAAAAGTAGTCACATAAAAAACAAAAAAAATAACAACTATTTAGGTTACCAGTATAAATAATTATAATACGAGTTTTTTTGACTGTAAAAAGATTTAGCTTTATTTATCTCTGTATTCTTATTTAGTTTTAACAATACTTCTTTATTAAGTATTTAAAAGAGCAATAGTAAATTATATTACCAGTTTTTTTAACTATTAACGAATAGTAAAAACCATTATTTATTTCTCTTGCTTTTATCAATAATATAAAAGACAAAAAAACTTGTATATTTAATACCCGACATTTACCATTTTCTTAGCCTTTATTATATATTCTTGCTAATATTGGTATTATAATTTCCAATAAAAAAACCGAGAATAAAACAATCAGGGTTATATAATTAAATAATTGCTTTGTATATATATTTTTTTTATTAATTGGCTTTAAAATAAAATAAAATAAAATAAAATAATAATTTATTATTTTGATTTTTGATTTTGTCTTTTTCTTTTTCCTTTTATTTATATATTAATTGCTTCTCATCTTGACAATACCGCCTGATTATATTTTACCACTTCACCCCACATCATTTAACACAATCAATAAAAATCATTAAAGTACTATATTCACTTTGTAAACAAAATAACGATTTATTGTTGGCATGTGTGAATCCAAGCAGCAACACGTGCCTTTTTCTCATTCGATAACTCGGTGTTTCTCAAAATAATTGAATAGACAGAATTGCCAATGACGTCTGGTCCCTTGTTAGCAAGTCTCTGTTTCTTCAAAACAGTAAAGTATTCATCCACCTGCATTATAATATAAATACTTTTGAGTTAGAAGTATTAAAAAAAATAACTTTTATCATGAGAGCCTTACCAAGGGATGTCTATTTCTAGGAGTATATCTAGTTTTATTTTTCTCCTCATCTGACTCAATATCAGACAACATGTCATAGTCCAGAAGGTCAACGACAGTCTCACCAAACTTAGACTCAAGGTTTGCCTTGTCAGCTAAGTGAATTGCCTTGTAGTCTGCAAGAATCTGAAAAAAAAAGTTAAAATGGTTTACACAAAAACTGTTGACTATACTTACGTTTCTCTTTCTGGACCGGCGTCAAGAAATCCGATTTTGTCAAGCTATCTTTTCTGGCAAAGCTTTTGCCCTTTGAAGCATATACGAAATATGTCTTTGGGTTTTCTCTTCCACAACTGCAGACGAAACAGACTTTACTTCAGCTTGCTGATGTGTGTAGCTCTGCACTACATCAGCAATGGGACGGTTGGATGTCGAGAAGGCACCCTCATTAACTGTCAATGGCATTGTTGCCAGAACTGCTCGTGTTTGAGAACGGATCAATCTCTGCAAAATATAATGTAAGTAACTTTGCAATATTCTATTACTAGTATATATCCTACCAAAACTGTTGGAAGGCGGTACTTTATATATTCTCCTGTAGTAAGAGCCTGACCGATGGGACTATGGTTCGAATTGTTATTCTGGCCATTGGTTGCTCCTATGTTGTGGTAGACCTTCTCCAGAAGTGAATGAGATTCATTCAGTTGGGTGCTCATGGTGGACAAAGTGGACAGGACAGTACCATCTAGCTCTGCGCTAACTGTCAAGCTGGGAAGAATTTCCCGTTGTCTTGTGCTTGCTGCTGTTCCAGCGGTTTGTTGAACAGACTTTGTTGTAGTCGTCTTTTTCGTTTTTTTGGATTGCTGCGTATTAGAAGACATGAATTGAAATATTTAAGGCTAATGAAAGAAATGGAAATAATGTGAATACTTTAATAATTAGAGTCGGGTTTCTTTA